GGCGCTGTCCCCAGGCTCCCAGCCGCGGTGGCCGCCGCGGAGGGCAGCTGGAGAGAGCGGCCGCAGAGAAGGTAGAGCCTCCCCGACCCCCGCCCGGGCTCTCCTGGTCACAGAACAGCGGACCCTGGGGCGAATTCCTGGGGAGGGGGTCTGGTCCCATCACCCGGGCGAGGACTTGAGCCAAGATTCCTATTAAGTCACATAGTGAAGTTGGAAAACATACGGGACCTCCCTGCAAGCCGGCGCCGCCCGCTTCCTCCCCGAGGGGCTTCGAGAGGATGCGACCCGACGCCTGCACTCCGGGAACGCAGGGCTAGGGTGTCCGGGAGGGATGCGGGTGAGTGCCCTTCGCACAGCTCAGCCTGTTGGGAGAGGCTGAGGAAAAAGAAAGACACCTGTTGGGATGGAATTCTGACGGGACAGCAACTCTCCTCAGCCAGTCCAGTACTTACTAGCGCTTCTTTCCCCCAGCAATGGCTCACTTGCCCAAGGTGAGCCCGAGGGTGAAGGAGTTAGCTCTGTGCAGGTCACTTTCCTTGACGTCAATGACCCAGTGTGGGGCGTGACCAGAGCAGCTCAGGTTGGTCCTTACCAGGGTCTACCTTGACTTCAGGGTGCCCACGTCCAACTTATGCCTTCCACACCCTGGGCATGAAAAGGGACAACAAGCATACATTTGTGCAGGGAGGGGGGAGTCTGCTTCTGCTCCCCTATGCAGGGGAGGGTGGGGTGGACTTTTCCAGAGAGGGAGCCAGGCCTGGCCCTGGCCCCAGGAGTTCTCTTCACCCCCCACCCCTCACTTCTCCAGAGAGCTGCCAAAGCCAGCTCAGGACAGGATTATGTGTACTGGGTAGACCACGGAGAGGCAGCAGGGACAGACAGACCTGGGGGAGTAGAGAGAAGCAGAGGGAGGTGGAGAGGGGACCAGCATCGGAGAAGACACAGGTGTGTCCATCACCCCTTCTCCTTCCTTCCAGCCTCACAGAGCGGGCAGGTAGAGGGCTGGTGGGTGGGTTGAACATGGCTGGCCCAGCAAGGGGAAAGAGAGGGCTCGGCCACTTTGTTCCCTTCTGCAAATTCCCAAGCTCCGGGGTCCTGGGGAGGGGGAGGAGGAGCAGGACCTAGCTTTCGCCTGCCCTGGGCTGGCCTGTCTTGGCCAGCAACCCTTGGATTCCTCTGGTGGTGCCATTCAGATCCAACAGAAACAGTGTTTTTCCTGGAAAGCAGAAGTGAGATGGGATGAGGGGCGTGGGTGAGAAGGAAGGGGCTGGAGGGCAGGGGGTAGGGAGAGACAGGCCTGGAGGACGGGGTACCCAGTGTTCAAGGCTAGACTTCAGGCTGGACTTCCTTGGTACCAGGAGAAGCTGCTGACTGGGAAGTCTGAGCGGCTATGACTGCCTCTTCCCTTTCTAGGTGCCCAGCCATTTTGGCTGCGAATTGGAAGAAAAAATAAAAAGAAGAAAACTAGCTGTACATGAACTAAGTCGGCGTGAGCCAGTGCCTTGTGGATGCTGGCACCCACAGGGAGCTTAAGTCACTGCCCTTAGCCCGCTTAGCTTATCCCTTGGACAAGAAAGGGCCTGTGGTAGCCCAGATGCCCTGGCCGTCTATAAGGAGCTTTAGCTAAGAGGGGAAGAAAGAGGCAGGAGGCAGGTAGGAAAGGAACGCTCCTGTGATTTCTTTTGGTTTGACTTGGTTTTAGGGAAGGAGGTTTTTTTGTTTGTTTGTTTTGAGATAGGGGGGGCCTCATGTCACCCAGGCTGGCCTTGAACTCCTGATCCTTCTGTTCCCCATCCCAAAGGGTGGGATTAGGGCTTTTGCCCCCACACCTGGTGCCAAGGGCCCTCTGGCTGACTGCTCATAGGGGCGCCTGGCATAGCCTGCCTCCTCTAGGTCCTAGAGCTGTGGAGAAAGAATGTCCTGGTCCAGCTGCCTACGCACTGCCCCTCCTCGGGCTCCCAGAGGAGCTAAGCCCATCTTGGGCCATAGGGAGGGACTCAGTTGAACTGGAAGGCTGAGGTCAGCCCCCCACCCTGGTCTCAGCAGATGACAAAGACAGCGTTCTTTATTGCTCCCACCCTTAGGTACTAAAGGGGTGGACCGATCTTCCCTCTGCCCTGCTGTTGCTGTGCTGAGACAGCCCTTCAGTATCCCGGCTATCTAGAGGGTAACCAGTGTGCTGCTTCTTCCTCAGAACACCCTCCGTGCCCAGATGCCAGAGTAGCTACCCTGTCCCCTGCTCCCCAGCCCAGGGGCAGTCAAGGGAAGAGCAATGGAGACCTGCTTGGGCAGGTAAGAGCATGGGCTGTCAGTGCAGAGAGACCATTCTGTCTTTAATAGTAAGAGCAGGGAAGGGGCTGGGCAGTTGCAGCAGATGCCTTAAACTCCTCGGGAGGCAGAGGCAGGTGGAGCTCTGTGAGTTCAAGACCAGCCTGGTCCACAGAGCTAGTTCCAGGACAACCAGGGCAACACAGAAAAACCCTGTCTTGAAAGATCAAAAAAGAAAAGAAAAAGAGAAGGTAGGGATTGTTAGAAGAGGCCTGGCACGTGACGAGGGACTTCTGCTTCCTGAGAAGTTGGAAACCAGGATGTGGAGAGCCTGGGTGGGGGTGGGTAATGTCGTAACACTCCTGGCTCCCTCTGACGGCCCCCACCCCCTGACGTGCAGGCTCTGGCTATGTGTGATGCTGTTTCTGCCTCTTCTTCAGCTCTGCCAGGATCAGGAGGTGAGCCCTGGCCCAGGGAGCCCCTGCTACTCTACCCTGGGTCCCTCTACTCTGCCCTGGCCTCCCCTTTAGGGAGGCTTTACATTCTCACTGGGAGACTTCAGCCCCTTGTCCAGGCTTGGCCCACCCAGTGTCCCTGCCAACTCCCTCCCTTTTAGTTAGCTAACACAAAGGCTGGAGTCTGGCCCTTCCAACACATGTGACCTTGGACAACTAACAACCCTTGACCTTTGACACTAACTCTGACTTTGTGTGCCCTCCCACCCCCGTGCAGCTGTTTGGACCTTCTCTTCAGACACCATCAGAGGAAGACCAGGTTCCTGAGGGCCTCTGGGGACATTGGGGCCGGTGGGCCCCCTGCTCCCAGCCCTGTGGGGTGGGGGTGCAGCGCAGAAGCCGAACATGTGAACTGCACCCTGGCCTATCCCTTCCTCCCCGACCCCCAAGACATCCAGAAGCTCTCCGGCCCCGGGGTCGGGATCAGGGTTTCAGAACCCAGACTGCCCGGGAACCCCAGTCCCTGTACAGACCACCACCTCGGGGAAGGGGTGGCCCTCTTCAAGGTCCTGCTTCTCAACTGGGGAGAGAGAAGACCCAAGAGACTCAAGGGGCCCAGAGGTGAGGCCCTGAGGGCACAGCAGCGCAGGGAGAGGTGGAGGAACTGAAAGGGGCAAGGGGGCTTCACTTCTGCAGGCTGATCTTTCAGGACGCGGACTGGGGAGACGGGCTAGGCAATGACTCGAGTCTGCACCATGCTCTCAGGTCCCGGGTTCGAGACCCTATCAAGCCAGGGATGTTTGGTTATGGGAGAGTGCCTTTCGCCTTGCCCCTGCACCGGAGCCGCAGGCACCCCCGCAGACCCAGACGGGAGCAACCCAACAACTCTACAGGGAAAGGGTCCTTTCCATCCCAGCCTCTAAGCACAGAAGTAGCCCCTGCAGACCGCAGCCCTCAAACGCAGCTTCCCGAACTACATGCCCATCCCAGCTCCCCCTCAGCTGAACCTCCAAAGCCTGGAAGTACTCAGATAGAGGTGCCCCCCAGAAGCGGTTCTGCTCCCTCTGACACGGGGATCCCTTCACCCACGTCCTTCGTTGGAGACAGTAGGTCTTTCCAGGGATCCCCTGGGCCACGGATGCCATCTTCCCAGGGTTGGAACAGTCCCCAGGGAGCAGAGCCACGCCCTCATCCTTTCCCTTCTGTCCCCCGGAGTCGGAGTCGAGGCCAACAGAACAGGGGGCACTGGAGACCTCGAGGGACTCCTCCCAGGTCCCCAGAAGGCTGGCTGCCTCTGACAAGAGACTCCAGCCCCCTCTGGAGCCTTTTTACTCCCGGTAGCCCTGTTCCAAAATGCTCTGGGGAAAGTGAGCAGCTGAGAGCCTGCAGTCAAGAGGTGAGCTCTTCTCCGGGTCCCCTACCCTAGGCTCTCATGGATGTCCCCTGACCCGAGTCCTCGACCTGAGTCCTCAGCTTGTGTGCTTAGACCCGAGGGTGGTGGTTCTAACTTCAGGGCAGGAACCTTGGTGTTCTGGGGAGCTGATCCACCAGTATCCAGTCCCTAGTCCAGCCCTAGCCTGCACCCCAGGTTTCCTCTCTGGCTCTGATGCTTTGTATCTACCTCCTCAGCTTTGCCCCCCTGAGCAGCCAGACCCCAGAGCCCTGCAGTGTGCCGCCTTTGACTCCCAGGAATTCATGGGCCAGCTGTACCAGTGGGAGCCCTTCACTGAAGGTGCACTTTCTAGTCCCCTGGCAGGGCTGACTCGGGTTTGGGTGGCCCCTCTCTGCATCCTGTGTCTTAATTCTCAGGTCTCAGCAGACTCAGCCCTGGCCTGAGAAGGGCCAAGTGCTCAGAAAGTGATGGGTGGATGGTCGGGACAGGGGTGGGCTGGGATGCCTTTTGGTGTGAATGTGATGGGGTCACTGGTGCCAGCAGAGACATCTTCGCACTGTCATAGCGGGCGCTCCCAAGTTACTGTCCACTTGTCAGCTTGTCACCAAGACAAACCTTCATGGGTTATGAACTCACAGTCACAGGTGTCGGTAGGACGGCTCAATGGGTAAAGATGCTTCTAGCCTGATGGTCCGAGTTTGGTCCCCAGACCCATCACAGAAGGAGGGGACCCACTCCTGCAAGCTGTCCTCTGACTCCCACATGAGTACCCCACTCCAGTCACACTCCAAACAGCAACAACAAACCCACCTTTTTGATGGCCAGGTGCAGAACTTCCCCTGTTTTAGGAGAATGAGGTAGGAGAATCAGTAAAATTCATAAGCTTGACACCACATAGCACAACAAAAGCAAAAACCAACAAAACCCTAAGCATAGAAACTGCACCCTCCCTTCCTCCACAGCAACTTCAGGATGACTACCAGGACTCTGGGGTGCTTCCTCCGTTAGGGACCCCAGCTAACTCTCATATCTTATCCCTCAGTTCAGGGTTCCCAGCGCTGTGAACTAAACTGCCGCCCCCGTGGCTTCCGATTCTATGTCCGTCACACCGAAAAGGTTCAGGACGGGACCCTGTGTCAGCCTGGATCCCTAGATATTTGTGTTGCGGGTCGCTGCCTGGTGAGGGGGAGCAGGGTGTTGGTGAGGGGGTCATGGTATTGGTTTCCACACTAGCATGCATGCGTGCACGCATGCGCGCACACACACAACCTCCTTTAATTTATTATTACAACAGTGGAAACACCAGACTGGGGTGGCCAAAGGGAGGTTCTTGCTGTCCAGGGGTTGTAAGCAGGATCCCACCGGACTTGGCTAGGCTTCTCGTCAGTTGGTTGGGGATGGAGGAGCAGGTCAGGGGGTGAACTGGGAGCCCTGTGTGGAGTAGGGCCGGGTGTGAGGTGTGCCTGGCTTTTGTGTGGCCCCTGCCTCACCTCACTTTTCCCAGAGCCCCGGCTGTGATGGGATCCTTGGCTCTGGCAGGCGTCCAGATGGTTGCGGAGTCTGTGGAGGTGATGGCTCTACCTGTCGGCTCGTTTCGGGAAACCTCACTGACCGAGGGGGCCCCTTGGGCTATCAGAAGATCCTGTGGATCCCTGCGGGAGCCACCCATCTTCAGATTTCCCAGTTCCGACCCAGTTCCAACTACCTCGGTGAGAAACTGGACCTAAGTCCCAGTCCACCCTGTTTCTTTGATCTGCCTTCCCTCTTCAGCACAGCAGAAAGCCAAACAGGAAGAGGTTGGTGGCCTCCCCCAAGCCTGGCAGAATGGGTGAGGGAGGTGTATGGCTGAGGTCCTGAGGTCCTAGGGCTCTGGGCAGTTGGCATGCACCAAGGCTCATGAAGGTATACCACTATCACTCAGTTCAGGCTTCTGTCTTTCAGCACTTCGAGGGCCTGGGGGCCGCTCCATTATCAACGGAAACTGGGCTGTGGATCCTCCCGGGTCCTATTCGGCCGTCGGGACTGTCTTCCAGTATAACCGTCCTCCTCGGGAGGAAGGCAAGGGGGAGAGTCTGTCAGCAGAAGGCCCCACCACCCAGCCCGTGGATGTCTATGTAAGCCTGAGGCGGGAGGTGGGGCATTAGACTGCTGGAGAGGGAGGCCCCTTAGGGCAGAGCAGTGGGGGGGGGTCCCTTAGGGAGAAATCTGGTGTATTCCCCTCTTGTCACCCCAAACATTCACTATTTTCTCTCCTCAGATGATCTTTCAAGAGGACAACCCTGGTGTTTCTTATCAGTATGTCATCGCCTCCCCTCCTGCAGTCCCGGAGAGCCCCTCCGCCAAGCCTCCAGCCCTTCAACTTCAGCCTGGTAAAACTAGGATCCTCAGACCCACAAAAGGGGTGCGGCTGTGGCGGGGTGCCTGGGTTGCAGAGAAGCATCTGATCCGGCTCCTGGACTTCCCTGCAGAGATGCTGAGGGGAGAGCCCCTACTTGCTCCCGCTCCCCGCCCAGTTCGGGCACCAGGCACCCTCCAGCGTCAGGTGCGGATTCCCCAAGTGCCCGCCCTGGCTCACGCCAGGACATCCCTGGGGTCCGCCGGATACTGGAAGCAAGTGGGGCATTCCGACTGTTCAGCGTCCTGCGGCAAAGGTGAGCCTGCATGCTTGTCTTGCTGGCGCTTCAGCCCAAACCCCTATTCAGTGTATCTATATAGATTCCATCTCCTGGACCGTGGGTCTGTACTGGACCCTGTGTCTGGAACCTCGCTGGAACTGGGCTCTGAGTTCCTGCCTCCCCTGGCTGCCCTCTTATCCCCTTCAGGTGTTTGGCGCCCCATTTTCCTCTGCATTTCCCGTGAGTCAGGAGAGGAGTTGGATGAACAGAGCTGTACCACGGGTGCCAGACCCCCAGCCTCCCCTGAACCCTGCCATGGGCCCCCGTGTCCCCCATAGTGAGTATGGTCCACAGAGAAGGTTAGTCCACAACCTTCTTACTGGACTCTGGAGCAATTTCATAGCTCCTGGCTGCAGGAAGACGTTAGATTAGAAAGGTTGGCGTCCCTTAGACTGTGAGGAAACCCTGGCAGCTTCCTTCCCGGCTAGAAATGCAGACTCCAAGTGTAAAATGTGCTCTTCTCCTCTGAGGGTCCCAGCCTGGCATCCCCACACATCTCTGCCCGTCTTTCTCTCTGCCCGCCCACGTTCACAGCTGGGAGGCTGGGGAGTGGACATCCTGCAGCCGGTCCTGCGGCCCTGGCACCCAGCACCGCCAGCTGCTCTGCAGACAAGAATTTGGAGGCGGTGGCTCCTCTGTGCCTCCAGAGCGTTGTGGACATCTTCCCCGGCCCAACATCACCCAGCCTTGTCAGCTGCACCTCTGCGGCCACTGGGAGATTAGCTCCCCCTGGAGCCAGGTGAGCGGGTGAAGGTGAGGAGTTCCCTTGAGAAGAGCCAGGGCAGTGGTTTTCCCACCATTTTCTCTGTCATCAGAAACTTTACAAACAAGACCTACATGGAACCCCAACATTAGGGAGATGCACTGGGATGGGCAGCCTGGAGCCGTGAGCTCGGCTCCCACAGTTTGTAAAGCCCTGGTTCTGCAGGAGGGCTGGAGGACGATGGGTGATGCCCGGTCTCTGCTTTCTCATCCTTCAGTGCTCAGTGCGTTGTGGCCGCGGTCAGAGGAGCCGACAAGTCCGGTGCGTGGGAAGCAACGGCGACGAAGTGAGCAAGCAGGAGTGCGCTTCCGGGCCTCCCCCACCACCCAGCAGAGAGGCCTGTGACATGGGACCCTGCACCACAGCCTGGTTCCACAGCGACTGGAGTTCCAAGGTGGGCAAGTCAGGCTTCCCTGGTGACCATGTCCCAAGCCCCCGTCACAACCTGTCCAAATCAGCTCGATAAACTTTTATTTCTCTTGGCCTAGGAACTCAGAGCTAAGTGGGGAGCTTGCATTCCCACCTGTCATTTTAGGGCCTGGAGGCCGATGTGAGAGGTCAGCCTGGACCACGTAGTACGTTCCAGGCTACATGACGTAGAGCAGAACCTGTCTTAAAAACAAAGGCAGGCTGGGTGAGGCGGTGCACACCTTTGACCCCGTTAAGGCAGGTGGACATCTGTGAGTCCGTGGCCAGTCTGGTCTACATACTGAGTTTTAGGCCAGCCAGGGCTGCAAAATGAGACCCTGTCTCAAAAACATCACCACCACCACCACCACCAACAAAAAACAACCAAACAAACAAAAATGAAAGAAAAAAGAAAAAAAATGGGCTGGAGAGAGAGAGCTCAGTACTTAAGCCGGCTCCCTGCTCTGCTGGAGGACCTGGGATCAGTTTTCGGCACCCACAGAGAGTGGCTCACAACTGCTGGTAACTCCAGCTCCACCAGATCTGGCGCCCTCTTCTGGCCTCTGTGAGCATATGCGGCATACACCGACACATAAAATAACAAAATAAAAAGACATGAGAGGGTCTGGTGAGGTGGCTCCGTAGGTGAAGAGCACTCACTGAGCAAGCCTGACCTGACAACTGAGTGAGGTCCCTGGGCCCTACAGGGGAGGGAGAGAGCCAGCTCCTCTGCACTCATTCACTACACACCGGCTGGGTGGTGGCGCAGGCCGGAGGCAGAGGCAGAGGCAGGAGGATCTCTGTGAGTTCAAGGACAGCCAGGACTACATAAGAGACCCTGATTATTAAGATAAGATAATAATAATAAATAATAATTACATAACATAGCAATAAAGTTTTATTTTAAAATGAGATGGGATGTAGTTAAACTGGTAGTATGCTTGTCTTAGCATGTACGAGGCCCTACTTTTGATCCCCAGTATCCATGAACCCGGTGTAATGGCACACACCTGTAATCCCAGCACCCAGGAGGTAGAGGCAAGAGGATAAGAAATTCAAGGTTATCTCAGCTTCATGCCAGGTTCGAGGCCAGTCTGGAACCCTAGCTGTCTGCCTCCTCTTACAGGCTGGTACCCCAGGGCACTCCTGAACTCCCCAGATGTGGGCCCTCCCCTCTTGTCCAGCCTCCCTTCTCACAGGCCACTCTCCCTCTCAACAGTGCTCAGCCGAGTGCGGGACAGGAATCCAGAGGCGCTCTGTGGTCTGCCTTAGGAGTGGGGAGACCCTCCAGGGGGACCAGGAAGCAGGAGCAGGAAGCGCTGAGCAGGGCTGTCCTCTCAGAAGCCGCCCTCCTGACATGCGTGCCTGCAGCTTAGGGCCCTGTGAAAGGACATGGCGCTGGTACACAGGGCCCTGGAGTGAGGTCAGCTGAGGGCCGGAGATGAGGGGCAGGAGGGAAGCCAGTCCTGATGGGTCCCACATCGGGAACTGGAGTGAACTCTCTTCCCTGTTTACACAGTGTTCCTCGGAGTGTGGATCTGGCACGCAGCACAGAGACATCATCTGCGTGTCTAAACTGGGAGGCGAGTTCAATGTGACTTCTCCCAGCGACTGTTCCCACCTACCCAGGCCCCCTGCGCTGCAGCCCTGTCAGGGGCAGGCCTGTGAGGACCGATGGTTTTCTACTGTCTGGAGTGCGGTGAGTGCCTGGCTCCCTTGCCCTGCTCCACACGGGCCTCTAGCAAAGAGGGCTTTTCTCCCTGCACTCGGCCCAGGACAACTCAGGTGAGCGCTCATGCTGCCCCACTTCCTGTAGACTCGGGAGACTGGTGGACCTTGTCCATTGGGATTTTATTATGCCCCTGGATAATGTTCCTCTGCTATCTTTCAGAGAGGGAGGGGGTAGTCTGAGGAGCAGCCCTGGGAACTTTATAATGTTGACTGATGGCTATGGTCTCTCCAGTGTTCTCGCTCCTGCGAGGGAGGCACACAGACACGGGAAGTCCAGTGCCTGAGTGCCAACCACACTCTCAGCGCCCGATGCTCTCCTCACCTGCGACCTTCCCGAAAGCGGTCCTGTAACAGCCAGCCCTGCCACCAGCGCCCGGGTAAAGAGCGTCCCTGCCCACCCCCAGCAGAGGAGAATTAGCTGGAATGTGGGCAGATGAGAAAGCTGGTGGGAGTGGGTATTACACTTCAGAGAGATGATGTCAGTCCTGTCTTGTGCCATTGATCTGGCTTCAGATGACCAATGCAAGGACAACTCTCCACACTGCCCCCTGGTGGTACAAGCCCGGCTCTGCGTCTACCCCTACTACACAGCTACCTGCTGCCGCTCTTGCGCCCACGTCCTGGAGCGGTCCCAGCTGGAGCCTGCTTGAAATGGGTCCAAGAGATTTTTCTCTTCACGGTTTTCTTATGCTAGCACTGGGCACCCACTGACGAGCCCACTCTGAATTCTCTGGCTTCTCACCTGGTCTCAGTGCCACCAGAAACACTCAGTGTCCTCCGCTGTGAGATAAGGGGACTGTTCATCTGCTGTTGGGTTTGCTCTATAGCGTGACGCCCCGAGATGTGAACCTGGACTATCCGGGTGTCTGCCTCGCGTATGTGCCACTTCCCTAAAAGCAGACTGGGGAAGGGTGGGAAGTGGGCCACGCTTGTTTTCCGGGATTTTTTCTGGGCTGAGGAGGATCAGGGTTACCTCTCCACACCAGTCTGAGCTACTTAAAGTGTGCCCCCACAAGTTCCAGTGCGTGTCCCAATCCTGATTTCCAGGTCAGGTCTAAGCTACCCTGCTGCCCCCCGCCCCGCCCCTTATCTAGCCTCTGTATCCCTACCTCCCCTTGCTATCCTACCTTGCCCAGGAAGGACCAGGCCTCTCCAGAGCAGGGACCAGTTGTGAAGAGGATGAAAGAGAGCTGTCAGCATAAGACACCCTAGCCCCCGCCCCCACTTCACACCGAAAGTGAGGCCCATCCCAGAACTAATTTATTTTTTATTAAAGTTGATTGTGACAAATGACGCTCTTCATTATGCTGAGGACCCCGCTGTCTGAGCGGTGTGAGGCCAGAATATGGTGTGGGCAGGGGACCAGCACTTAGGATGGGAGGAAGGGTAGGCCCCAAGGGCTATGGAGTACGGATCAGAGCAGCCTGGCTCAGAGTCCCAGGATCCTGCTCTGCCCCACAAGTGCAGATGGCTCGTTGGCCACTAGAGGCCACTGCCTCTCCCGGTTTAGGAGCAGTGGGCTTTTGAGTAGGCTCTTCCTGTAATCTCTGGAAATCCAGTAGGACTTTTCCGGGCCAAGCGGGCTGTGTGAATGTATGTGTGTGTGGCCACTTTTCAGGCCCTCTCGCCCTGGCCCTCGCTTGTCTTCCCATGGGTGCACCTTACCCCCTTCCCTTGCTCAGCAGAATCAGAGGAGCCCAGCCTGGTTCTCTGGAAGTGCAGGATGAGGGAGGCGTGGTCAAGGCAGTACCGGACGTCCTGCCAGAGACACATTCCTTAGAGACGCCTCACCAGGCCTCCTCCCTCCGCCCCCTTCCCTGTTCTTTTCAAAGTAAATAACTTGTTAAAGGTGCCGTGAAGGGGACAGCTTTTTTACGTAGAGCAAACCGGTCCCTGATCCCTGTGGTTCTGAGGTCTGAGTTCTGGCTCCTGGAGGTAGCGCCATCCCATCCCTGCCTCTCTAACAAGCTGGGTTTGGCCACTAGCAAAGGCCTGCAGGCCCGGTTTCACCTGGTGTCGATGCGTTCTGATCATGTCCAGAGTCCCTTCTACCGCAGCAAAGCCCTTAGGCTCCCTGCCTTGGGACTCAGGCTGTCCTTGGCTGCGTGTGGCCAAGCAGAAAGAAGACAGGGAGCCACAGGGAGATCACAGCTGAGGCAGAAGGATCACAAGGTCAGCCAGTGTGACTACCTCAAAAACACCAGGAAAAAAAAAACAAAACAAAAAACTGACTTCGGTCCTAGGCAGGGCACAAGGAGACTACAAGAATGGGGTACACCTTTAATCCCAAACTCGGGAGGCTGAGGCCGAGGCAGGTGGGTCTCTGTGAGTTCAAGGCCAGTCTGTAGACAAAGAGCTAGTTCCACACAGCTAGGGACTACACAAGGAAACCCTGTCTTGAAACATTAAACTACTACTAATAATAATAATGAAACGAATGTCCTGCCTCTGAAGAGATGTCAGATGTGTCTCTCTCTGGTGAGCCTGGAAGGAAAGTCAGAGTCACAGAGCCCAGGGAAATGGGGTCCAGGAACCAGCCGACAGACAGGCAGCGAAGGCAGAGTCCCAGGGCAAGGGAGGGGTGGCTTCGGTCCCAGGCCCTCCCATCAGTTCCTGGAAGCGGGACTGGGGTGGAGGCCACAGCTCAGCTGACTTCCCTCCCTTTTCAGGCCTCTTAGGGCTGTTGCTGGGCAGGTTCAGGTTTGGTCTGGGCTTGAGAGCCAATCACAGGTGGAGAATGCAGCCACAGCCTTTCAGGGTTCCCCCAACATCATGAACACCTCCTCTTTTTCTGACAGCCCCTGAGCTTCCAGCCTTCAGCCTGCGACTCTGGGGAGAGGAGGTCCTACCTTCTTCCTCACTGTAAGCCGAAGGATTGTCCTCTGGTCACTGAGAGCAGTGTGGGGTCAGAGCTGACATTTCTGGGAAACCTGACTTACAGCAACCTTTCCGCTCGCACCCTAGAAAGAGCAGTGTGGCCAGCCACTGCTTTGCTGACCTCTGGAACGCTTGGAGGGTCTGAGTAAGGAAGTTAAAACCCAAAAGGCAATAGGTGTGGTGAAGCCCCTGGTTTTGATGCAGAAGGGGGAATTTAGGGAAGGACTAAAGAGGAACTGGACTGTGAGCCTTGAGACAGGGGTGATGAGAGGAGCAGATGCCGTGCAGAGGCTCCAGCGTGCAGAGGCCAACACAAGGCCACGAGTCCTCCTCCTCCTCCTCCTCCTCCTCGTGTCTGATGGGGGGGGGGGAGGAGCTGGTTCTAGAATACAGAGGAACTGTATGGGCTCAGATCAGCTGTGCTGGGACATAGCTGGGCGAGAGAGTGTACTTTGCATGCATGAAGCCCTGGGCAAGCAGTATTTTTTAAAAGCTCCAGTGGGTAGGGATGCCCCTCCCCCTTCTTTACTTCCTGGGGTAAATACCCTCTCAATTTAAGCTGCAGCCTTTCTACTAAATTTAGCGACCAGACTTCCCCGCCCTGCTAGGCCACCCTGTAAGCAGCTGTGCACAGCTGCAAAGGTGAGCCCGGTGGGGTTTCAGCACTCACTGCACATCTACTCATGGAGACTCTACTTTCTGGTCCGGAGGGAAGCAGAGCGCTGCCCAGTGCCCGAGTGTCTGTCACAAGCTACTCTCTTCCAAGAGACCAAGTGGACATTTAAGATCCAATGATGTGGGACGGAGGACAAGACTCAGGAGCCACATCTCTGGGTTCTTTCCAGCTGGTCCTTTCTTTTTCTTGCCTGACCCTTGGTAGCTCTGGCTTGCCTGAAGTTTGGGATGCTCTTCCTTCCCTGTGCCCCTGAAGTGCTAAATATGTGCCACCACACCAAACCCAGTGTTTGGCAGATTTCGCTTTCCCTGTCTTACCAGTGAATGGCATCGGGGAGCTTCTCTTGCAGCCAAGGAGCAGCACCCTTCCAACCCACCATCCCTGGGCTGAGTGGGGGTGTCTCAGGACAGGGGTTTGCTTGCTGCAGGAGGTGAAGAGGCGAGAAAAGCACCTTTGCACAGGAAATAGAAAGGCTCAGGAAAGTACCTACGGCTAACGAGAGAGAGACACTTTGGGTTAACCTCAGTGTAACTAGCACCAGTCACTAATCTGGACTTCTCCATCTGGGAGCCAGGGAGAAACTTCAAAGGCCGGCATTTCAGGGCTGGGGATGAAAGGTGGGTAGGAGGAGCTGCAGGGAACATCAGGTCTGTCTGCCTGGGATGGTGCAGAAGCCAGAGAGCTGGCATGACACACCACTTTGCCCCAACACTGAAGCTGAGGATTATCAAGAGTTCTAGGCCACCCTGGGCTACAGAATGAGACCCTCTCCTTCATTCCACTCCCACAGAAGTAAAACAGATCAGGACATTCATTTCCTGTGTGAGAACCAAAACCTGTTGGTTCAGCTGTGAAGGGCCCACACAGTGTGCACATGTGTGCTCGCACGCATCACCCACGTTTATTTTGTGTGTGAAAGGGGCATTCAAATGCCACTGCTAAAGTTAGGGGACAACTTTCAGGTTTAGTTCTACCACAGGAGTCCAGGGATCCGAACTTAAGTCTCCATACTTGGCTTTCACCCACTGCGCTGAGCCATCTTGCTGGCTCCGCGTTAGATTCTTCTAAGCTTCACAGCAAGAGAGTAGCACACTGTGTGCCCGAGCCCCTGCGCTAAGGGAGGTGCTGAGTCCACAACTCATCTGCCCTGCTCTCCCTAGGACTGACCATTGACTGTTCACCTGTTTTGTTTTGTTTTTTTTATTTAGTTTTTTTTTTTTTTTCAAGACAGGGTTTCCTGGACCTAGCTCTTGTAAACCAGGCTGGCCTCAAACACACAGAGATTTGCCTGCCTCTGCCTCCCGAGTGCTGGAATTAAAGGTGTGCGCCACCACCACCCAACAACATTTTTTAAAAATATGATCTTTATCTGGGACTTTTGGTCAAATCCTTATTCTACAAGCTTTTCTTTCATTCAGTATTGATGCATTCTTCTTTTAATTCTGCATACAGGTAACTGCAGAGGCCAGCAGAGAGCACTGCATCCCCTGGAGCTGGACCTAGTCTCTGTGAGCAGCTCTGTATTGGGAAACTGAACTATGGTTCTCTGCAAGAGCATCTTTCGCTCTTAACTGACACCTCCCCAGCTCTCAAACCCCAATTCTTTTCTTTTTGAAGACAGGGTCTCCCTATATAGACTGGGCTGGCCCCCACTCCTGGCTGAATTCTCTTATGCAGTTCACACCACCACACCTGATCACTGCTGTCTTCATAGCTCACAACACAGAAAGGAAGAGATTCTATTTCAGACCAGACTTTAACCACCAAAGTGAGATTGCGAGGAGACAGGCGGGCATCAAGGGCTCTCTGCACCCAGGGTCACCAAGCTGCTCTGCAGAGCGGCCGTTCCTGCAGCTGATGACGGGTCAGAGCTGGGGTGCACCTTGGTGGAAAGTTTGTGTTCAGTATGTCCAAGGGCCCCAACTAGATCCAGAGCACGCAGGCGTGTGTGCACACACACACACACACCCTCATTTCAACACATTTCACAACATTTCCCTGTTTCTGTTTCACTGCCTCATGAGGGAGTTCTGAGAAATGACAGAACTTCACTTCCCACAGCTGCTGTCTGCAGGTTTTTGTTGTTTTGTTTTTTTTAATTTTTCCTTGGACTAAGGTCTTTTTTGTAGCCCAGCCTGGCCTCGAACTCAAGGCAATCCTTTTGTGTCTGCCTTTTCTAGGCTGGACTAGAACTGTTGGCATAATTTATGGGTTTTGTTTTGTTTTTTTTTTAAATATTTTTTATGGTTTATTTAACTTTATTTTATGTGCAATGGTGTGAAGATGTCAGATCCCCTGCAACTGGATCTTCAGACAGTTCTGAGCTGCCATGTGGGTGCTGGGAATTGAACTCGGGTCCTCTGGAAGAGCAGTCAGTGCTCTTAACCACTGCGCCATCTCTCCAGTCCCCTTGTTTTGTTTTTTGAGATAGGGTTTCTCTGTGTAACAGTCCTGGCTGTCCTGGAACTTGCTTTGTAGACCAGGCCGGACTTGAACTCACAGAGATCTGCCTGCCTCTGCCTCCCGAGTGCTGGGATTAACGGTGTGTGCCACTACTGCCCAGTGTCTTTTTTTTTTTTTTAAATTAAGGGATGGCAGAGGGAAGGCAAGAGGACACATCAAGCTTCTACTATTAATCTGGGATGTTCCCCACCAGGAGAATCCCCTCTGTGCAGCCTTCACCTGCGGCTGTAGTGCACTTCTCAGATCTGGGTTCTCAGGGTCAAAAGGAAATAAA